AAGCTAGGGCATATAAATTTGTAGCTTTAATTTTTACCGTTACATTTTTAAATTTGACAAAATTTATTAATCATTTGAATAATGTGCCAACTAACATGCTCTAGCTCCTTCGTTTTCTGCATGCAAGCAAAAGGCAGTTGAATTTTCCTTGCTCTCATACTCCTGCCCCTGCAGGTTTTCAGAATCCATTTGGCTTCTCCATGACACCAATAGGGATGGCAACCAGGCCTATGGGCCAGAATCCTGCGAAGATTTTTTACAAGGGTAGAATTTGCCTTGTTCTCATTATTTACAAGGACCCATTTCCAGCAGCGATTTGCTGTTTTTGCCTATCTATATTAGAAAATTAATTTAATTATTTTTATTTTATTATTTTAAAATAAAATATTTTAAATATTGGGTTAAAGTAAAAAAAATATTGGATTTGGTTTGGTTTAAAATAATTGGATTTTAGTATTAAATTAAAATTAAAAATCAGTAATGAGTATGCTTATGATTAAATCGTATTAGATTTAATATTTTTTTCTTTATTTTTTCAGTATTTCAGGGGGAATGGGGATATTTGTGGGTACTCACGGGATGAGAAAAATTTTTCACAAAAATTTTACAGAGAAAAATTACTCCCTACCCCCACCCCACTTCCCATCTCATAGAAAGGATTGAGGGAAATTGTCATCCCTAAACACCAAGTTGATGCAGAATAGCCTTCCATACTATGCTACCAAAGGGACACACAAACAACAAATGCAAATGGGTCTCCTCGCCAGATGGGTTTTAGGTCTTTGCATTGGAGTTTTCTGTAATTAACTGCAGTAAATGCACTCTATAACTTTGCAATTGCTGCAAATGATAATAACATAAATTCTTCATCCACAAACTAATGAAAAGACATGTTAAAGGCTCTCTAATGGAGCGACTTTTGAAAGGTTGAGATTTCATATATATGTGTTCATCTAGAATTTTCGCCTGGATATTATTTTATCTGGATGAATTTTATAAAATTTTACTGAATTTTATAAAATTTTACTTGATTTTATAAAATTTTACTTGATTTTACATAATTTTTATTTTTTATGAAAAAAAAGAATTGGAAGAAATTAGAATTTTTAAGACTAAACCAAAGAAATTAGAATTTTTAGGATTAAAGTGTCAAATTGATGAAAGATGAGGGAGCAGAATAGTGTTACAAATAAAGAACCAAAATTACT